CAAAGGTTTTTGTCGAGTCGAGGACATATGTGTTGATCACGTCGATTGGGAATCCCTCGACTCTGAGCACTATTGCCTCGGCAGATGGGGATGAGTGTCGTCGAGGACCCGTGGCCATACCTAGCTGGAAACATAACGATGTCGAGGACACATGTCGCCTATCTGTCTTCTTCCAGAAATGTCCCATCAACTGCCCCTCAGCCCCTTGATCTTTTGATGCAGGGGAGACGTGTCGTCAGAAGGCAAAGGGTTACATAGATGTCCTAACCACCTCATCATTGCTCCCAGCCGTTTTTCATCGTTTTGGAGATTCTGCGCATTAAATGCGCCTCTTAGTGTTTCGTGCACAATGATGGGGACAGTTACTCTATAAACTGAACCCCCCTCTCTTTCCAACATTTTAGTTCATGCAAAGAAACTTACTAGAGCTCTCGCCGAAAAACTCCTCAGAGAACCAGTTTGCACCACCGCCTTTCCAGCCATCACTGGAGCGAAAACACTTGCGCCACCACTTGCCACCAGACTTTCGACGATGAAACAAGTCCTTCTAAGCTTCTAGAACCTTTCTTTAGTTCTCTGGTGAGTTCTTGCTTTCTTTTTCTTTCTTTTCCTTCTGGCTTTTTTGGTGATCGGTGGCCTTCCTGGTCTCCATCAGCCTCCCTAGTGATTTGAAAAAACTCCTTAGGACCTTTTTAGGAGGAGAAATCCCTGTTTCCTTCGTAGAGATGCCTAGGGCCCACCCTGACACCGAGATCCAAAGTGCTGGTCCCTCGAGGCTAGGGAAATATAAAGTTAATGGGATCAGCAGATAGAGAGTTTTAGAACCTGTTATCGCATTCCCAATAATGTTGGTATATAGAAATTCAAACCCGCTCGGCATAATCATGATGTCGGGACCGAGGAAGCAATTCCTTTCTACACCAAGGCTATTATAGAGGGTGGGATAAGATTCCCTTTGCCCCCTTTACTCCTTCAATTCCTCTCCCGGTTCGATCTCGTCCCGGATCAGGTCGCTAGTGGGTACCTCCTCCATTAAGCGCAAGGGCTTATATGGTAGGGGGAGACGACTCCTACCCAATGTGGGATGGAGGTCAAAGACTACTGGGTGGTCGCTTTGACACACGTCAGGTCAGCTAAAATCCTTCCATTCAGGGATGAGATCCGAAACGATTTCTATCCCTAACATAAAATATTACAAAATAAAAGTAGGATAAAAAAATAGAAAACAAGAAGAAACTCAACAAATGGTGGAAGGTGAACTATATGATGTTAACTGAAGGGTACACATATAATACAATTTATTCAAGAAATAGAACAAAATCTCAATGTATACACTTTAAAACCATCAAACTAAACACTGAACCGAAAAGAAAAGACCAAGAAATTGGAAAAACAAGATCACAATATACCAGAGTCAAGGATAAGTAAGAGTCAAGTTAAGGTAGGGAGCTGGGAGTGCACTGAATTGGGCAAAAATCTAAAGGGCCTGCTGCATAAATCACAGCCTTATAATTCTTTCAATATAATCTATTTTCATAACAAAGCGAGGATCATTGATTCCATTGGACTCCTTTAATCCAGAATTATGCCCGGATTGCAGCACTGTGAAAGCATTGAATTCAAGTTATCTCTAAACTGAAAATTGCTTCACAGTCAATTGCTACTCATAGTCATTGATGAGACTCTTAAATTATACACATACTTTTCATTGATAATCTGCTCTGTTTTCCTCATCTAGATGTATTTCTGGTTGTTCACCTGAGGAACACTCCTGGGTGGCCACGTTTCCGTTACTTTTCCATGTATTTTTTATCTTTGTTGTCCTCGTCATTGAAAACTTTCCCAGTAGACTTCTTAATGCACAAAGAAATTGGATGAATCCAGAATGCTTTTTAAAAAGATCCTGTAGACATCCCTCCTTAATTTTCTTCACTTGATCCTTTTACCTTCTTTTTTTTTTGAAGGCATTGAGTGATATGAGTAGCCTTATCAAGGGTCTTGTAAGATCTGTTGGTGACAATGAAGGTACATTAATTGTAGAATCCTAGGCATAATATCAATCAACTTGTTGGCAACATAGTAGAAACCTATATCAGCAACATTAGACAGAGCTTCCATGGGGCCAAATCTCGCAATGACACTAAGATTGTTCACCTGATCGGCAAAGAGAACCATAAGGAGCATTTGAATGTAATAGACTTAGGTATTGTGACACTGTGATGAACACCACTGACAGTTGTTTTAGAAAAGATTACTCACCAGCCTTAACCTTCTTAATTCAAGGGTCAATAAAGAGCTCAAGTTGGCCATTAACCTAGCTCCTGTCAATCAACCTCTCAAAGAGAATTTCTTCTAAAGTTGATAATTTGATTAGGAAGACGATGGTTAATTAAAAAATGTCAATGGTCTTCTTTTTCAAAGTTTTTTGTGTCAGCAAAAACTATGTTGATCTCAAAACATCATAAATAAATACGATTAACCTTAGAAGAAGAAATCTAGACTATAATAAGGTATTTTACGGAGCTATCAATCCTCGCCTAAATCAACCAAACAACATATCAGAGGGTGAAATATATGTGAACCTTGTATGACTATTAAATAAAAGGAATTGTGCTAATGGTTATTGCCTCTTTAGATTGCAGCATAGACTTGAAATACACAAGGTCACATATCAAAAATCCAACCAAACATAGCATTTAAGCCCCCAAAGCAAGCATCTTCCATATTGTATTTGTACACACTGGCAAAGGGAAGGATCCAATCATAATCCAAAGTAAAACTAAAGGGTAGCTTCTTTCTTCCAGTTTTAATAGGCAAAAGGCAAGGATTACGCATCTAATGTAGAACACAAAGAAAAATACATAGGATAGATGCAAATGAATTCTAAAGAACGCAAGGAAAGATAGCAAATTACAGACTTTGGAAATTCCTCACAGGATGATGAACATACAACCATTACTCTTAACAATTAGTACATATGAATTTTAGCTTTCACTTTTGGAAGTGCTTGTAAAAGGTTCATCTAAATATGACCTTGAACATATAAAAATTCAATACGCTCGAACCAACTGTCTGTAACATTTTTATATATCGAACCAATAATCTGACATATTAAAACGCCGGATACAAAACACAATCAACAAGAATAACAAAAATCTAATGCTTATCTATGTATGATCATGAATCTCCAAAATTCCAAATGTTATTATCACGACAAGAAACAAAATGAATAGATCATTAAGTAATTGATTGACATGCCAAGGTCCCAAACTTGAAATCTTATATTGTTCTATTGATCTGTTTCCACATTAAACCCAATTGTTGCACCACAAGAAATGCCCATGAATCAATCCACAAATTGAATTACAAGAAATTCAAAATGCAATAATAGTCTAGATTTAGGTAAATTTAGGGCAATAATTGTGGTAAAGTTAGGGCAATAACTTCTAATTATGTTAAGCCTTATACACGAATTTGGCTGAAAACTTCTGATACCAACTTTAATTGTCTGTTTCCATTCCCTTTTGCAATTTTTCCCCACCAACGAAATGGAAAATATATAAAAATAGACCAGAAAAAGAATACCAACTTGGAATAGTGGAGACAACTTCTCCCATCTGAAGCCGGTTTGAGCAAACCCAAATCAGGACATTAGAATGAAAAATTACAATCTTGAATGTTTCAGATTGAACTGAAAAACAAAGAAATCCAAATGAGAAACTCACAGAGCATAGTGGTTTTTCTGGCATTGTCAAGGCCAAGAACGAGGATCCGAGCTTCTTTGTTGACAAATAGCGATCTTGTAAACACAAGTGGAACCTGCAACAATATCCATCACTTTCTCAAATCCATGTTCACCCACCCCATCACCATGTTCCACAGTCACACTATCCTTGTAATATAGGGAATATCTTTCACACAATAGTGTCACTAAATTGAATATTCATGCCCTTGGCTCAGGTTGTAAAAGGATGGGGTTCAGAGGACTTAGGTCCTCTGGTGCAATTCTTGCCTATAGGGGATATAATAAACGAAGTGTCACAATCACAAAATGATTGGTTAAAGCAACTAATGAAAAGAAAATATGGCCAAAATTTAGCCATTCCTTGGAAATTTCAAAATTTAATGGTGTCAATCACCATAAATAAGCAAACCGGCCAAGCCTCAATGGCATTGAGAGAACATTATTGGATTTAACTTGGAGCTGTATTTAAGCAAGGATATACAACATAGATAAGGAAAACCTCAAAAAATAAAAACAGCTAAAGACCACACCTTTGCTTCCCATGTAAACTGTCAAGCTCAGCAATAAATCTGGCAAAGCAACGAACTCCATTACCACACATCCACAAAAACAAAGAATAAGTTGAGAATTTATTTTTTTTAAAAACCAAGTTTCCGATCACAATGCCAAAAAAATAAAATAAAAAATATCACACATTGAGACCAACTGGACAAAGAAAAGCAACCTAACATACACAATTTTTACACCTTCAAGAAAATAGTGCCAAGCATCACCAACCAAACATACTGAAACAGCCATGTGTACTATTACACTTAAAAAACAAGAATGTTAATCATTATTGCTTTTTAGCAAACAATCAGAACAATGTCGCTCTGAAAGTCAAACAAGCATTCTTGAAATTCTACTCTACCTCACCATGCATGTTTACCTTTCCTTTCTTTTCATTTTTCATTCAATAACATTAGATAGAAAATATATCGGTATTATTTTTCATCTCTGCTAAACAAAAAGAAGAAAAAATAACTTTCTTTACTTCAAGGATAGAAAAAAAATGAATGTATGCGATTCGAATATAAGAATTCATATATATATATATAGAGGGGGAGCATAAAAAAATAGATTGCAGGAATAGTTTAGGAGACTCAATTGAAATAAAGTCTTACATATGTGATAGTATAAATGATTTTGAAGTTTCACAAGCTTACTCTGATGTATGAAGAGGTTAAGGCTAATCAGACCATATTGGATTTGATTCCTAGAGTGTTTCGAACCGATTCGCCAATAACGACATCAATTTAACTGCAAAAATCCAAACCATAAAAATGAAATTAGAAAAAAAACCCATTCAAGATTAAAACATCTGACAAAAAATTAGTTTGACGCCTATGCCGCATTTTTGCTGCTTCTTCAATGAAGCCTGAGATCACACCAGTTTCACTGTAAGCATAGGAGAATGACTTAGGGAGCATGAACAGCTTTTTCCTGGAGATAGAGGTTTGAACACGTAACAGATCAAGAGAAGCCCGAAAATTGTATAGCCACAAAGAGCATTGGAAAAAAAATAGGATTGTTCTCAAAAGTTGAAAGAGTTGACGGTTTATTGAAGAGATTTGAATATGTAAGGGGTGGAGAGAGAGAGAGAGAGGCCAAAGGTGTAGTAACGGCATACAAGCAATATGTTAGGGATGTATGTATTAATTATAATTATTTAGATTTAATAGCAAATTTATTTATATGTACCAAAATGTCCTAATGATATTTTTGAGGGGTAAAATTGAAAAACAAATGTTTTACACATTTCTGTACTTTTATATGTAGTAAGATAAGATAAGATAAGATAATGACTAATTCTTGAGTAGAAGCTATTCATGTATCCGATTAATATGATTTATGTATATATATACATATAACGCATATATATTTACTCTGTTCATTGTGCTTAACGAGAAATGGTCATGTATGTACCTTACGCATTCATCTCAAAAATATAATTCATGAATAAGAGTCATGAATATATATATCTAAGGATATTCATGTATCAGTAGAGATGGTAATCTTAACCTATTATGCATTAATTCGTTTAGTCCGTTCATAAATAAATGGATTGGGTACTATGAAGCACAGATACGGATACGAATACGAAATATAGGTACGATACGATACGAATACGGTGATATGACAAAATCTAAAAAAATAGGATACGAGTACGATTAAAATACGGCTATAATAAAATATATTTAATATTATTATTATTTTGAATCAACTTAATACTTATATATTTAGATAATTCATTAATATAATAAGAAAATTAGTAATTCTTTTTAGTTTCAAGAAAATATATATCGTATCACTATAGTATATTTACAAAGTGAACTGATTAATTAAAGGAATCAAAACTAATATTTATCGAATCAGGTTTATTTAAAGTAATTTTCACTCAAATTATAACACAATAAATTTATTTTATACTCTTTTAACATGTAATTGTAAATAATATTTAAAAAATACTCATATGTCTTTGAAATAATATGAATTTTTGTTAATGTATTGTATGATATGTGAATTTGAAAGAAATATTAAAAATTCAACTCAAAAATTATTTATGTTGCTTGAATACAAAAGTATCCCATGAAGTATTCTAATATTTAATTATTATCAGATACGTAAGAGGTGTATCCGATACGTATCATCGAGTATCCGACGAGTATTGTATCCGATACGGGAACGTCAACTTCAACGAAATATCCGTGTTTCATAGGTTGGGTACCTATATTAATTAATATAGGTTCTAAATAGGTTCGATAATATGATTCATTTTAATTGAATCCATACAAATAGGTACCCATTGAGTTAAGTATTTATCTTTTTATTAAATAACACAAATAATAAAATTAAATAAATATACTAAAAAATATACACACTATTACACAAAAAAATACACACATATATACTAATACACCAAAACATATACACACTAGTACACCAAAAATACACACACACACACTAATACATCACCCATGACCCACGGATCAACCCACAACCCAAGGGTTGACCCATAACCCATTGGTCACCCACGACCCAACCCATAGCCCACAATTGACCTCGACCCATTATGTGTGTATTTTTGTATTAATATATGTGTGTGTATTTTTGGAGTATTAGTATGTATATTTTTACTGTATTAGTTTGTGTGTGTTTTAATGTATTAGTGTGTGTGTGTATGTTTTTATTTTGGTGTACTACTAATGTGTGTGTGTGTGTTTTGTGTATTAATGTGTCTATTAATAATTTTAATTATTTTATGGGTTAATTAGTTTAACCTAATCCGTTATAAACCTAACTCATTTACTAGGTGAGTAAAAAATAGATTGAATTTATTTTAGCCCATTCTAATTTAACTCAATTTATAACCAACCCAACCTACCAATTTGCCACCACTGTATCAATATGATACGTATATCTATATAGATAAATGAATCCACTAATTAATCTCAGTGGTACAATAAATTATATATTTTTATTAATATTGAAATATATTAATATTTTTTAATTAGAATTAGATTTAGATTGACTAAATCCGATTTAAAATCCACACATAAAATGTAAAATGTTTACAAACTAAAACTATCTTAGGTGAAAATGGTGCGTAACTGTGAAGAAAAAAAAAAAGTGCTAGTTTACGATAGTCGTTAGGGCTAATAATTGAGCCGGGTCAAGCTGAATAATTGAGTCGAGTCGAGGGCTTGGATAAGGCTTGGCTCGGCTTGTATTTTGTATGAGTCAAACTTGAACAATTTTTTAAATTTGTTTAAAAAATAAAACTAATATGCTAGATTTGTTTATATGTAAAATAATCAAATTATTCGAGTTCGGCTCGAGTTTATTGAATTTTATAAACGATTTGAACTTGAATAATTTTTTATACTCGTTTAAAAAAATAAGCTCGACAAACTCAATTCAAGCTCACAAAACTCAACTTAATTATCAATCTTAAGTGCAAATGGTAGTTCCATGATGCTACCTACTACTTCTCCAGTGGGGGATGGTGGGGGGTTTTCAATCAATGTTATTGGTTTAAGGTTGGTGAGTCAGAAATATTAGTCAAATCTCAATTGGACTGTTCAGTGTGCTTGATGGTTCCTTCAAATCGACACCCTGTTAACTCTTTTCTGATTCTGTTTTTTTTTTTTTGGCTGGGTGGGTGGGGGAGGAGGAAATTTAGTATGTTTTAAAGCCCCCTCAATCAAGAATTCAAAAGAAAATGATCTTCAATGGCTTCACATCTAAGCTAGTTAGCTTTCTGGCCTTTTAATAACATTGGGTGTCGGTCAAAGATTCAAGTTGGCAATGCCAACAATCACTTGTTCCCTACTCTCTTTTTTAAGGCAAGGCAAGGCTTAGTGCTCTTTTCAACCTTCTTTTTATCACTTCTTTTCCTGGTCCATGGCCGTGGGGGCGTCTTTTGTGTCAGGAAAGCTGAAACGGTAGCATTCAGTGACAAAAGATAATGTATGTGTATGTAGAGAGAGAGAGAGAGAGAGAGAGAGAGATAACATTAACTTGTTATGAACCATTGAGCACACTGGTGTTAGGTAGCTTTTGAATCACTGATAGTATTGACCATTTCCGTTGTACACCTTCCCAGAATTTACCTATTGCATAGCAATTCATGTTCATCAATCGTAGCTGGCTATGAATTGTTTTAGGTTATTCCTAGACGGAGCTCTTGAGAAAGCTGTTTCAGCCTACCGGGAAGTTAAGGGCAATCCCCACGCCCCTCATCGGTCTAAATCCCCACACCTACTTGAAGACATTATTAACTATAACAAAATAATGGTGCAAAAAAGTGCAAAAAAGCCATCATTAACCATCTATTGGCTTATAGAAAGAACTAAGGAACTGAGTCCCCTCAGAGACTTACCTACATGGGGTTGATAAGATCGGCCAACTAAACCAAATATTCAAAGTAGTCCCAATTATGAAAATTGAAAAGTAATATAACAAGCCAGTTCGAAACTCTCACATCAGTTCCAAACCAAATTTCAGCCAACAAACAACAATAGAAAGGAGAAAGAACCACATCTGCATTTAGCAACAACAATTTTTACATCCAACAAAGCAAGAAAAAGCAGCATGATGGCATCTAGCATGTTGTTGAAAGAAGAATTGACATTTGATATTGTTATCAGGGAAAAATCAATTCCTTGTACAACTTGAATTTATATTCAAAGACCAAATGCTCTTCAAACTATACAATGTTGGGACTCCAATTAAAACCTTCCTACGAACAATGGAAAGAATTAAATCCCTATACATCCTTCATAAAGAAGGGTGAGAAAATTGGGATCAACGGGACAGGAAACCCGCAACGGTAAGTACAATTACATTTGCAAATACAAGACTGCTAGAATTCTCTTCCCATATCAAAAACTTATAGCACTCTCTTGCTGATGGAAGCTATGGAATCAATCACGGATTGGTACCATTTTTTAACAACATGTATTAATCAATCCGGACCAAGTACAAGCTGAAATTTATTGGAGAACTTCGAACCAGTAAATTACTGTCCACTGGCATAAATCAAATTGCCTATAAATCCACTTATGGGGCCTTTTCAGGTGAGCCAATTGATCGAATTCATGTTCTGTAATATACACAGGAAAGGAATGTACCTCCAGAGCTCAATTTTACGTTGCCGTGAATTATTTCCTGCCAGCTCTTCAGTTCCAGTGTCCACTGGACATAAGGACATATAATTTGATGGAAAGGAACAATTTGCCAATTCCTTTCATTGTATTGTTCTTGTGAGCTTACACTTTGAAATGAAGACGGTAGCTGTATAATTTAGGCTGCACAATTTCAGGAGCTCAGCTGCGCGTTGCTTGAGTACTGGATTGCAACCACTCTGAATTACCATTAGGAGCTTCGCTGCAAGGCCTGCATCGACAGCAAGCGCAGCACATTCTTCTGGGGCAAGCTTACAAACGGCCCAAAGGATCGATAATGCAAACTGATTACAGTTCTCCGAAACCTTCATCAACAACTTGACCACATTTGGAATGGTTCTGGGGCAATCCTTCAGAGCCAATCTACCCTCTGGAAGGGTTGACAATAGTTCAAGAATATATAGGGCTAATTCCAAACACTCAGCATTCAGATTAGGTAACAGTTCCACCAATTGAGGAACAGCCCCAATGCTCACAACTGAGTGCTTCACAGCTTCATGTGAACAAATCATCTTGAGCAATCTGAGTCCAGCCAATACCCCATTTGGATGTCTCTTATCCTTCACCAATCTCATTAGTCCCACCAAAAGACTCAAACTCGACACAATTTCTGACTTGAAATCCTTCCCCTCCATCAACTTTTCCATCAATTTCGTACAATTGATCTTTGTATCAATGGACCCCTCATTTAAAATATCCACCATTAAGGATATCTTGGTGGGTTGCATCAAATTAGTCCTTGAATCTGAATTGAGGTCCAAGTTCACCAAAATCCCAATTGCCTCTGACCCAACAGCATGTGTAGTGAAAGGACCAAGCAAAGAAGAAATCAAACCAAAGCCACCATTGTTCACAACTGTTGTTTTCGCCGAATTGTGGGCAGTTACAATTTGCTTCAATTCTTTCAAAGCTTGAACCCTTGCTTGACCCTTAACCTTCTTCAATGTCTCCAAAAGCTCCAAAGCCCTTCCTTGCACATCCTCTGACCGCTTCTTCATTGCTGAGTAACTTTGAGAAAACCAACTGTAAATTAGCTGGTAAAGGGTGGTGTTGGGAGTTACAGAGTCATCCCAAAGCTCTTGCATTGTGGTGGGGCAAGTGAAATGACCCAAGGAGAACCATTTGAGAATGTTGGACTTCTCATAGGTCTGCCCAGTGCAAAGGGTCACAGGGTCTTGCATTGGCTCCAAGGAAATTGGGCAAATAAACACCGATGGAATGTCCACAGAATCGAGCTCTTCAATCATCTTTTTCAGATTAAATTTCACCCCGGTAGCACCGCCGTGGACCACCCCACCTCCACCACCCAAAATCCCATCTTTCACGGCGGTTTCCAGATCCAACACATGCCCACCACCACCCTCTTCAAACGCATCTCTCTTCCTACTCAAAGGCTGATACATCGGCATTTTCACCCGCCCTCTTGAGTATTGTCAAAAATTTCCCAAAAAACCTTAAACTATAGAGACCCTTTTAAGCAAGAACTGGTCTTCTTCAGGACGCATCAAATCCACAGTCAATAAACGAAACGTGTGTATGAAAAAAGAGCGAAAAAGAGAAAGAAGGGAAGAGTTTTACACTCTTTTCTTTCTCTCTCTCATTAGCAATTATACCCAAGAATGCACATCAAAGGGGACATCTTTTTCTTCCTTGGGTTCTTTCTTGAGCTTTATCTGAACTCTTTTTCTCTGGTCAAAAGAGACATATCGCTCATTTCCACCATAATCATCATGATAAAAAGACCTTGTAATCTTCTTCTCTAGTACCAAAGCTCTCAACTTCCTCTTGAAGCTCAAAAAGAGCGAAATAATTCTCAACCCAGATCGGGAAAAATCAAAAAGAAGCAATCGAAAGTGAGAGAAAAAGAAAAAGGTAATTATCCAACACTCATAAATGAACAGTACCCACCAAATTTAACACAAAATTCAAGACTTGTGACAAAACCCACAAGTTCCAAATCAATCGACACTTAAATCAACAGAGACCTGAAAGAATAGGAAGGCTCAAAACCATGCCAAGCACAGAGGGAGATATAGAGAGATGAGAGAGAAAAGCTAACTGTGTGTGACGCCCCTCCTCTTCTGCTCTGCTCTTGGGCAGGTACTGAAAACTCTACTAAAAGTGTGTGTTTCTTTTTCTTATTCTTTTAAAAAATAATTGTTTACTTGGGAGGTTCGGGCTGTAGCCGGTAATTTGAGCCTTGGTGCGTGTGCACCACACGTGAATGACATCCAAAGTCATCAACATCTCGGGTTTTCTTAATTAAATATATTTTTTTATCAATGCTATTACAACCTAAAAAATTGAATTATTTTGTTCACCAAGGCTGCAGCAGTGACATGTTTCAATAGGGTCATAGTCACTGTAACTCTCAGACAAGATTGATAATCGAATTGAATTTGTCTGAGTTTGATTTTTTTTAAACGAGATTGAATATTTTAATTATTTTAAATATAAATAAGTTGTACTTTACAAATTCTAATTGAATTTATTTTTTTTTAAAATAAGTTTATAAAATTATTTAAATTCGACTCATTTAAATATGAGCCGAGATCAAATAGTTCAACTCAATTATCAGATTTACTCTTAAACTTTTCTTTGGAACTTCATCATTAATCACATCATTACGTTAATAAATTAAATTATCCTTTTAGCTCCTAATAACATTACTAATCTTTTTTAGGATGTCAATTTGAAGCTTGTCGCATTATTTTTATACCGCATTATTTTAAATAGTATTATTTTTAAATCGTGTCATTTTAATTCATGTTAAAAATATTATCAATAAAAAATTATTTACTTATAAAATAATTCATATTATATTATGTAAAAAATTACAAAATACATATTTTTTACTTATAATATTAGTTAATTTTATTAATTTATATCAAATCTTAATTTAATTTTTTTTATTCGTATAAATTGTTAAAATTGACACTTTTAATATTTTTCTGCGAAATTTTTAATTTTTGGTTTTTTGTTTTTATTTGGTTATTTTTTAAAATATTTGGGTGGGAGTTGAAAAGGCACAGGGGATAGGATAATGAGAAAATAAAGAAAGACGAGACGTGAGGGATGGTTTGGTTTGATGAGATGAGATGGTCAACAGAAACGTATGGCGTAGTCTACGGAAACACAGAGCTCCATACGCCAGTCTCTGTCTCTCTCTTCTCTCTCTCAGTTTGTTGTCGACCGTTTCGTCCCACTTTTCCTCCACAATGATGCTCAAAACGACAAAATATTTTGCCTTTTCTTCCTCTGCGAAATTCGGACCAAAGTGTTGCCTTATTTTTGTCTATTTTAATTTTCTTATCCACAGTTTTTCTTTTAATATATATATATATATATATATATATAATATTTAAATTTTTAATAGATTATTTATCATATATGCAAATGAGATTCACTATCCTGAATTCCTCATTCATTATCAGGGGAAGTGGATGATTCACCAAGAAGAGAATTATTAAATAAAAAATGTTTTAAAGGAGATTATACTTTGTAATCTAACAATTGAAACCGAAATGAAATTAATATGCAATTAATTGGCATAAATGTTATTCGATTGAGTTTGATTAATGAAGCAAAAATCTGTTTAATAAGTGAATAAATACAAATTCAACTTAATATAATACAAACTTATAAATTAAATTAATCTGTTTATCAATTAAATTTTTTTTAATTTATTATAGGGTGTCTAAGTTTATGTTTAGTACTCTCACGAACTCTAACAACGTCCCTCACGGGAGAAGGATGGCAGACCCTAGGTATGGGTAGTGTTTGTTGATTGCAATATAACATGTCTCTTCAGGATTTCCTAAAAATTTCAAGTAATAAATTTTTTATTAAATTCCTAACAAAATATAAATATGTGTATAATGAAGTTAAAATAGTCTCTCATATTAGTCAAGTTTATATTTCTGATGCCATGATATAATTACACAAAAGCTATTTAAAATAAAAATAAATAATTTATATTTTAAGTCTGAAGGGGGTTATTGTCTTAAGGTATTTTTTAATGACTTGAAAGTTTTCTATACATCTTGACATTTATAAATTTTAAATTTTTGGCAAGTTGCAAAGAATTTAGTAGTAAACTTTTTGCAATCGTATTAAATACTTTGAGTAATATTATTAGGCGGACCCGTATCGAGTTTTAACAGATATGGTCAAAAAATATTTTATTTATATTCAATTTTTTTTTAAATTCTAATCCAAAAAATCGTGTCATATCGAATTCATTTTGTATATGAACTGTGTATAATTAATATCTAAATGAATAGTTTCGTGTATTTTTTCTGATTGACTTTATTCATACTGGATTTATTTATTAATAATATTATATTGAGTTCACTCATTTATTATACAAATAATTTTATAAAACTCTTTTATTTTATATTATATTTCTATCGTGTTAATAACTCAATGTTATACTTTTGAACAATGCTATTGAGACCTAATTTGTTATAATTTTTGGATTAATTATAGGGTCCATTAAATATTAGAACTTGATGTTGATCCAATAATTTTATTAAAAATATATCATTATATCAACAAATTAAATTAAAATTTTAATTTCAAATAGTATTCCTTTATACTTTTACACCCTGCTCTCAATACTTTGACAAAGATGCTAGATTTGAACATTAGCTGGAGGTCGTGCGATGTGGCCCACTTGTAAATTACCTTTCACAAAATGCCAGCTTAGTAGTTTGACGGGTCAATGTTTGTCTGTACCATGTGGAATGCCTCGGTTGGGTCTTTCCACACTCAGCTTTGACTACATTAAACGAGTGAAACACTGACACGTGCCGGTGGGAAGCGTGCGGTTCTGGTACTTATGCTCTGACAGTGGCATAAACTGAACTCTGATCTGTTTGTTTAATTAAATAATCTTTTAGCTTCTTTTTATGTGTACCATTTAATTACATTAATGTCGAGGTCGTGGGAAGCAAGATTTGAATACATGGGAAACAGTGGTTTTCGAAAAAATTTTATACTATATGAACGGGTTTAAATTTAATCTAAATTTATTTTCTAAATCAATAAGGATTATTTGATTAGTAATTTTATTTAAAAAAATTGATGTGACCCATAGATTCAATAGTCTCATTTTATTTGAGATATAAATTTGAGTTATATAATATTTTCCTAATTTTAATGGGTTTTGAATGATAATGTATAGACTTATTTAATGCACATAATAAATATGAATTGTATTTAGGTGGAATATCTTATCCAAAATTAACCATTTATTACAATTTACATGATTGCACGTTTTATAGTGTGCGGGGAGATTTCTGCACAATAGTTGAAATTAGAACAAATCTCCCCCACGGCGAGATTCGACTTGTCGGAATGGTAGATTTGACAACAAGGAATAGATTGAGAGGGCCAATGGAGGCCTAAGGACTGGTGATGAATTGCTTCTGGTGTTGTCAAACTGATTCTGGTGGTTTGTAAGGGATTCCTGAAACATAGAAAACTGGTTAGAAGGGTGCCAGTGTGTTTTTAGCGTATCTCTTCCGACAATCAAGTCAGTTGAAAGAGGAGAAGAAGAAAACACTATTTGGGGGCTCTTAAGAGATAATTCGCGTACTTTTGTAATTTGTTTTTAAGGACTATTTATACCTTCAAAAACTCATAATTACTGATAGTATAGACAGTAGGTAGCCTTCAGAGATGGGATAGTGTGCCCCCTACTTTTTCTGATGAAAGTCCTAGCATTGATTACTCAGCCTACTGAACACTTAATGCTCTTTCTTTGATGTGGAGATATTAAATGCTCGGGTCCTTGAGCATTCAATATCTTTTACTCCTTAGCTCACCACTCCACGGTAGATGTCTCATCAACTGATGATTCATTAAATGTCTGTTTCTATTAGCTGCATATCAGCAGGGATAGTTCTGTCTTTTTATCCCTAATCCTGCACTTTATGCCACACGTCCAATTCTCTTTGGCTGAATGTCTAGTTCATCCTGTCATACTGACTCCATTGTGCAGAGTGTCATCATAATTACCAGCCTAGCTTAAGCTGGTTCAATTGTCAGTCACTAGTTCAGTTGATGACACGTGGTTTCTCGAAGCCGAGAGAGCATACCTTGGAACCAAGAAGCCCATCTGTCGGAGCAGGGGATAATGAGGGCGAGGACACGTGACCTTGTCGAAGGCAAGGAGAGGCCCTCGGGGTCGAGGACATGCGTCATTAATCCAACACCCTTTTAGAAATGTCCTATCACATACATATCCCAATTTATGAAAAAATTAGGATTTTGATATAAGATTTTTATTTTGTTTTGTAAAATTAGCAGATAAGTCTAGTCACGTCACGTAAACCATTTAATATGCAAATAGTGTTTCGATTTTATAATTTTTATCTATTTAATAAATGAGCCGTGTAAGAGTTTGAATAATTTTTGACATAAACATATTAAAACCTTTCTAGAGTTGAGTGGTTTGGTGAGCATATAAAAGATAGTGAAGCAAATACATTTACAGATTTACTTTAGCATAGAGGCTCCACTGTGCACCATGAGTCACCCCAAGGTGCTTCGCACCGTTCGCATGCGCGCCTTTGTCCGTGAGATGCAAGGGCTAGGGGGGATGTGGCACTTTGATGACACACTTTACATTTGGTACGTGAGCCATGGCCTGATCAGGTACATCCATTACGAATAGACATACCGATAGATCAATGGTTGAGATTTAAACGGATAAAATTCAATCAACTGATATTTGAATCTGACACTCATTGGCCAACAGGCAAGCTATATAAATGCTGGGTCTGCTCAAATGCCAAACTCACTCAGAATTTCAAATCTCTCTTTTGCACAGCATTTTCATTTTACGCATGGATTTCTAATTTAACGTAGTATTAAAATTTCAGTAATTGACTATTTTGTTTTTTCAGTGGATATTCAAAGATTTTTTTTCGTCAATGCAAAGATGCAAATAAGTTTTAAGTTTCGTTGTATCTTGAAGATAGATTTAAAAATTTTGCATATGCACACCTTAGTCAATCTCGTGGGGATAAATAATTGTTTTTAGGAAAGTATTCTTGTACAACTTAAAACACTACAAATTATTAGTGAAGTTCA